TAAAGAAACTTCGCATCATTGATTTACTTGTAAATAGATACCTTATATATGGGGAAAAATACGTACACCTTTCATAACACAATTGTTAATTTTTATAGGGAATGTTTTCCAATAAGTTGAGAAATGGACCTTATTAATCCGATCTTTAAATCAGGAAACGGACTCGACAAAAATTGCAAAAATATGATAATAATAAAATTAAGTCATTCATATTGCGTAGTATTCGTTATGCTAATGTTTGATACGAATTTTGATGTTGTTGAATACTATCATTTATAATATTATAACATAATACTATCATATATAATGTTTTCTTTGTGTTCTGGAGATACGTAGATGTCATTTACAAGGTGGCAGAAATCACGTTATAACAACCCTAATTTTCAGAAATTTTTATTGTATGATATCGATGTAATTATCATTATAAAATTACCAATTAACATCCTGTTTTAGTAGATATTAAAATCTTGATTCATCTTTCTTCAGACAAAATGTGTGTATGTGTGTGTGCGCGCGCAAAACGAACATAAACCACGTGCGAGAAATCAGAAAAATTGGTCAAGCGCTCGCGCAATTGCACAAAAAGAGATGGCTCCTTTTAACTAGAAGAACTTTGTTTCTCTGACATGTTTCCTTGGAATTTGCTATGTTTGCTTTGCTTCTACAATTTTTCGGTTTTAGGATCGTATCTTGAGCTTTTGATTCATATTAAACAGAACAGAACTAACAAAACTAATGTCTCGCCTGAGATATGATGCTGGTTGATTTGGCTTGAACTCATATAGAAGAAACCTTGGGATATTTTTTTTATGATTAAAGTTAGGCTGATGATGAATATCTCCTATTTTGGTTTGTAATAAATTGTATATGTTCATAAAATCCTTCCCTGTTCTATATTATTTGAAACACTCCTTTGGAATGCGAGAATTTCACTAAGAAATTATGGGTAATTTAGCAAAATAAGTACATTTAGCATATGAAATGAGGAAGCAGGTTACGACATTCGATCCCATTTTAAACTAGAAGTCTCGATGGTAATTTATGTAAAATTATGTTTTATTGTTAAGTAACTATTTAAATATTCTTCCATATCGCTGATAATTATCGTATTGTTCTAAATAAGCATGTAATGCAAAGGAGTCGGCAAAATAATCTAAATCTGAGTTCGAATCAAACAAACCGAGCTAACAATGACTATTTTGAATATTTTGTTTTTCCTTGACATAAAGGCTTAATATAATATGATGGAATTTCGATATCTTTGGTGGAGTATCAAATTTTATGAACCAATAAACATCATGATGACCACTGCAATATAAAACTACTTAGTTCAAAATCTCTCTCTCTCTCTCTCTCTCTCTCTCTCTCTCTCTCTCTCTCTCTCTCTCTCTCTCTCTCTCTCTCTCTCTCTCTCTCTCTCTCTCTCTCTCTCGTCGAGAAATAAATAAATAGATCAATACATATATTGTTGAAAACTCTTGTCTAAATAATCTGTAATAGTTTGACAAATATTGACAAGGAATGGCACACGTATATAGGTAATTTGACAAATATTGGCAGGGAATGGCCAAAATTAATTTAAAAATTAATTTGCTTTCTCTAAGTTAAATGCTTTTTTTCAACAACTTTCAAAAAGAAAAGGCATCCGACCTTTAGAGGGTGATGAATGTTCCTTATCAGCCCGACAGAGACGCAGTTTCTATGTCTGATATATAGGTATTGGTCCACATAGTCGCAATGATGTAAGTAAAAAGACCAGGTAAATCCATTCAGAATTTAAACAGGTACACTAGGTACTTTCAGGTATGCAATGCCAATACCTTTTAAATGGCATGTGCTACGCGTGAGCTAAGAGTGGTCCCGAATTCAGGACTGCGGCATGTTTTGTTTGCTATCGTATTTTCAATAAAACCAATATCCCCTCTCTTTTCCCTCCCCATCCCTTATCGTCCGGATACAACCAGAACGTTTCATATAATTAGTTTTCTTTACAGTTATTCGAGTAAAAAATATTCCCGGAGAACACCTAAAATGAAGCAGCTTACCCTACCCCTCCCAAGTTTTCTATCCCGCAGACCTCTTTGTCAACTTGTTTCCACTCCCTACCCACACTCCCACCACCCGCTCCCTGAACGATATTTCTGGATTATCCCCTACATAGTTTTTAATTTTTCTTAGCACGACAGTCACTGGTTCAATCGCCAGTGTACATGCGAGAAATTTCGCTAATCATTGTAACTCGGTACTACCCTTCCCTGTTCCTCCTGTTTCTAAAAATAGACGCCCCCACTGGTACATACTTTTCTACGTCGTAACAAGATAAGCAATTACGTAAAAAGTTTTCAATACGGATGTCAAACAAAAGATCGATATTTCAATAGCAACATATACGACTGAGAATTTACTTTTATACGTCCTAAACAAATGAAACTGCACAAAAATTATTTCATGCGAATGAAATAGAAAGAGTAAATAATGGGGTGGTAGGCCATTTGTTTCAAGATTTTACCTTTTGTAAACATCTTCAACCATGTATAATGTATAACTTTTCTAAATATTATTTTAAAAAATCTCCTCAAATTAAGATTATCCCGATTGTGATATTTCGGAAAAGATTGTTAACCTTCATCATAAATATGAATTTTACAAAGGATTAACAATCTTTATATTCCATGAAAGTCCTTATTCTTGAATAAAATTCCCAACATTTTGACTATTTTCGTTTATTCGTGTTGATATCTTAATGACTCGTTCAATGATATCTACTAAGAAATAATAAATAGATTAAAAATTATCAAGTGTTTATTTAAACTGGGGACAGATAATTAATGTAAACAACCGACATGATGCATATTCGTTTTGTGTTATTAAAAATATGACTCTTGAAAGGTCTGTCCAAATAGTGTTACTATAATAATAATAATAATAATAATAATAATAATAATAATAATAATAATAATAATAATAATAATAATAATAATAATGGTGATTGTTTGTAATATAGGCCACTAGCCCGTAATACATGTCCATATATCATACGGTACAAAAAGATGTTATAGTGCGTACCAAAAGAACATCGTATCTATGGGTAGTGTTATACATGAAAGGAATCACTACTGCATTTTCCGAGTTGGGTGAGATACAAGCATATATATTGCATAATAATCACACAAAACAAATAAAGCCTGCATGGAGCAAGTTTTGTGATACTATCTAGAATCTTATGTAGGAGGAGTCGTTGATAAAATGGTTTCAAAGATTAGATCAACCATAATCAACAACAACAACAACAACAACAAAATAGTAGTAATTAAAATAAAAGAGTTAATTTTTTTTTTCAAAAAAGCAAAACAAAATTAAAAATATCACAATGTAGAAAAGACCACACCCTCAACCTCAGCGCTCAGATGATGGATCGATATTTTAAGATCGGTGTGCATGGACAGACTACCCACAAGCAGCTCCCCAGGATTAACGTCGCTGTTGTAAACAATATACAGGAATTGTGGCACGTTGCCCGTGCACGGATGCATAAACACGCAGCGAGACATTCCCCGATTTTCTTGTAAAATCACCGGAATGACAAAATAAGGCAGTACAACCGTGTCTTTATTTACTTTACACTCCCAGGCGCAAATTTCAAGTGCGAACTAAAATGAAATAATGCGGATATCTACTCGCCTATCGATGCCGTGATAAATCTAATCTCTACAAGATCGACACCGACTGATCCGGACTAGACGATTCGGTAAACTACCAGCTACTGCAGTCGAACTTTGTCCTGGGACGAACATAGCAACAATACTTGTCATGTGGTCACATGGACAGTGATGACCATAGTGTGAAAGAATGGGTCTCAGCATGGACCTAGTGTCAGGCAGACTGTCTGTTCTATTCATCCACGTGTGTTTAACATCACTAGGTAAGAACACTACTTTTTTTTTTTTGGCTGTATGTAAAGATAACAGACTGTGTACATTGAAATTCACAGACAACCAAATAATTGCACATTTCTTGACTCACCTGTAAAACCTAAGGTTTTATTTGCGGGGGTGGTGGGTGGGTGGGGTAACGCCATTTTTCAACACATGATAGGCTATATATGACGGACAGTACATTTATAATTTTGTGAAGGAAGAATTTGGAAAGAACCCGGAAAGAACCCAAGGACGCCTACAGGATTATATTTTGTGACCCTAGGAAAAATTCTTAAGTATGCCCCTATGAATTACATATTATAACGGCGGTGGGCCCCCAGCTAATCGGAGGCCGTCGTTGTCTTAGTTGTCCTACCCTGTCCATGGTGCCAAAAAAAAAAAAATCCCAAGGAAGGCTACTGTCAAGCTTTCTCGCGTAACCACGTCGATCTAACCGAGACTCGAACAGACGCAGGGATTAGATGGGTGAGTCATCTAGCAAGACGGTCGCTTTATACTAGTCGGCCACCCGCGGACCTTTATTCGGATGAGAATTAGCAGAGGAGAAAGGTGTAGTACATATTAAATAATCTCGTATGAGTAAAGTCAGATTTCATAAATTAACGAATGCTCATTCGTTGGACCACAATAACGAAATTCAGAAGGGAACTGTTGTCTGTTGATGAGAATATTTTCATTTCTTTAGCGTTCTTTGTAATGGAAATACATGTGCATTAGAGTATGAGTTCTCTTTTTAAAAAAAATCCACCTATTCTTTCTCCCGTAAACTCTTTTAGTAAAACAGTTTATGATGCATTGTCCAGATGATGTGATGTGATGTAATTTTGACTTTTAACGTAGCGTTGACAATTTTTCAGTCATATCGCTACTATGTATGCAGTGTGGCAGTTCATAGTGATGTCTACCATTGGGGCATCGTACCGCAGACATGTAGCATGATGTCCCACCAAGTCACATTATCCTGACATCAGGCCGACCAGTCCTAACAATAACCTCTTAATGCTAAGCGTCAAGCTGTTAAGAGGCAGCTGTTAGTAACATTTTTGTAACATACTTTGGTATAACTTGACTGGGGATCGAACCCACGACCTCCCGCATCCGAGGCGGACGCTCTAACCAATAGGCCACTGGAGCGGTGGAAAAATAACTCGTACGAATGGATATTTTGAAGCGAGTTCAGGGCAAAAATAATTTGATAAAGATGTAACCTAAATGTATTGGTTTTTATAATTTATTGGCATTGCTAGCAATGAGACCTTTGTTAAATAAGGTCTACACGAAAAATGACATGTGACATGATTAAATAAAAAATATATATAACCAGTATAGAAATAAACGAATAAATGGGTGAAAATAGTTGTATCAGCAATCAAAGATGCATCTCTTTCCAGTTTTTTTAATTCACCTTTATGTTTGCTTTTAGGTAAAAGAAAAATTAATCAATGGTCTTCGTTATTGATACAGGTATAATAACGGTTTACGGCATAACAATTAACGTGTAATAACGGTTTATGGCATAGCAAATAACGTGTAATAGCGGCTTATGACATAAGAAATAACATGTAATAACGGTTTATAACATAACAAATAAAGTGTAATAACGGCCTACCATACAAAAAAAAACATTAAGGTATTATTAGACAAATTCATAATATCCGGTTGCAGTTCAGTGAATTTAAAAAGTCACTTTGCTTTAAATTAAATCAGCACTTTATCATATAATAGATAGAATCTCTAAACTGTTACTAAATTATTACTAATTTCAAATGAAATATCTGCTATCCGATGTATAATTTATATTATTTTCTAGCAAAGATTATCATTTACTAAATATTATTCAACTCTTGTAGCATAAGTTTCATTCAAAATTTGCACTCGTGTAAAAATATTATTGTTCTTTTTTCGAGCGACTGATCTGTTCTGCTGAATAGTGATACCAATGTTGGGTCCGAGAGACTGAAATTATTTCCTATTCATATTTGGAGGAATAATGTTGACTTTTCAAGGCGTTAAGCTAACATTCTTGCAGACCCTCATTCATGCCCTGGCCCGTTACGTATCAGAGTAAATACATCGTAGACAAGCATAAGCATGTGTAAGACTGTTGAACCACGTTACCCATATCAGGGTATCTTTTCAAGAACTTATCCTTCTTGATAGCGAATAATTTACCTTGCGTATACGTGTAGAGGTTTCTATAAAAAAGAACTCAAAACATCAAAGCTTCCTGTGCAAAGGTAAATGAATCATATATTCAAAGATTTATTTGCATTTCCAAAGAAAAACAGCAGCGACATGTGAAAAATAAAGTTTATAATTTTTTCTCCAGTATAGTCAGCTCAACACAAAAGGGAATTCAATCACAAAGTCCTGACAAAACACAAACCGCAAAACGAAACAAACGTTTCCCCCTTGTGAAGTGTCAATACTTTGATTTGGTTTGGCGATATAAGTAGCACACGTTATGGCAGTTCTAGTTCAGTATATTTTTTTTATACCAATACACTAGTATTATTTTGCAAACATCATTATGTACTAGCTCGGAAGACAGAATATACAGATGAAGCTTTTTATTTATTTTTTTACAGTGTAAATAACTGAGGCCGTAATGTATCTTACGGCATTGCAGGACACAAGGTCTGCAACATAGCTGTTCCAGAGATGGAAGCCGTTTCTATATAAATTAAGTACACATACTTTCTCTCCACAGCACACCTAATTCACCGTACGAACAGCGATGAACATTAACTAGTAGGATGTGTGCTGTAAGGAACACAGTTGGTTTCTAGCTAAATGAATCTATGTCGATTTTGAGTCTTATTTCTTCCTTCCGTTGAAAATTGTCAATTGGTAAAACCCAAAATAGGTTATACCATAAAAGTGGTTTTAATTTGTTTCAACTCTGTCTCTACAGTTTTAATATCTCCTCCAGTATATGCCCATGAGATGTTATGTCGTCAATTGAAAACTGACTTCGAAATAGAATGATGGTGCACCAAGCGATATCCTAAATAACTTTTAAAAGCATACCACAGGTTACGTTGAAAGCATATCTATGTGCTGCATGCTTAAAAGAGTTTCAATATATAGCCAAAACATGGCTAGGTTTGGGTTGGACAAATTCCAATCATCGTCCGTTGTAAAATACAGATAACATGGCTTTATGTTGTTTCTGTGACTTTGCTGATTTTATACTGTATATTGCAAACGATGGAATATATCTTTCCTCCAGGGAAGATCGCCTGGGGTGAATAACTTCGTTGAACTTGGACATCTTTCACAACTTGAGCTGTATGTCGAAGTCTCTTTTAAGTTAACTTAATTTTACTTTATACCAAAGGCATAAAATAGTTAAAACAGCAGCACTACCTCTTATTAGATAATAGATTGTGCTCTTCGCATGAACAGAAGACACAATTTTGTTTCGTATATTCTTTGATGTTAATAAGTTTCGTGTTCTTTAAACTTTAAACTTTGGATTTTTAAATTTTGTTAACGTTGCCCAAGTATTTATTCGTTCCACAAAATTTCCTGGTTTGAGTATCTTGTTATCAAGGTTCCTAAATCAACAAATCCAGACTTGTAAACCTGACTTATCAGTCAGCATCACGATCGGTTTTTACCATCCTTATAAAACAAAACAACCTAACATTGTGAGCAAACCAATAAATATCACCGTTGAATACTTACATCGTTGCTTTAGCCCTAAAATTATGAATATTTCGTCACTTATCTGAAAAATGTTGAAAGTAGCCTAATGTATATTCGTGTCACTATTTTAATGTATTTTTATATTCATGTTATATGCTGAAGCCTCAATAACTGTTAATAACTCCTTGTATGTTAGTGTTGTCACCAACACGAGTGGATTGCTGCTCATTTTCTTTTTTATACATGTGGGATTTTTACTGCAGTGTTATATTGTTACAAGCCAGGGGTCTTTTGCTTGACCGAGCGGTGTCAAAACCCTGGCTCGAATCCCGCTAGAAATCATAAGATTACCCCATATTACCAAAGACTTCTATACAACTTCAGTTGTAAGTTGAAAAGCCCGACGTGTCCATTCTATACATAAATTTTACAATAATCAATGTAAGACCACATTGCCAATTAACCATCAACCGCACATCCGCACAGTTTCTCTACATTAAGTTTCCGTTTCGCTAGTAGTTCACCCGGTAGAAACTCTACAACTATCACTACCATGGGGGACTATTTTAACTGCCCACCTGAGTTAAGGTCTTACCGGACAATTGTTTTGGCAAATTTTCATCCGACAATGACCTATTGCAGAAAAATGATCATAATTTTAAAATAAAGATACAAATAAAAACTAACTAATGATTTTTGTTGAAAGGATGCTTGTAAGATTCTGACTAAGGTATTAAGGTTAATTCCTTATGCAACTAGTGGTTTTGATACTGAACCTATACTATCACCAACCCCTCTTTTTTACATTCATGTTTGACAGAAAAGAGCTATTTTCAACCAGTTCCTGTGAGAAGCAGGCTAACAGACTCAGTACGTACCTTATTGATCTTGAAAGTTCACTAGTACTATAACAAATTGACATACTTTTCATCACCCCTTAACCATGTAGATTTTTAGATATTTACCTCTGAAGCAGACACATGTAAATACGTAAGCCAAGTCGGATGCACATTTGCAGTCCAAGTTACGCATTTGATCTCCAGTGCTAGTCTAACTGTGACAGGCAGTCACCAACAAGGCAACCCATTTACAAGCCTAACTCAAAGTAAATGTAAACCACATTACAGATTTAGCTTATGTGTGAATTTATAAATGCTAGGGTTGTGATAATCAGGCTCATGCCTTCTACCTTAAAAATTAGGGGGTGTCAAAATACTAAACTATCCAGTAAGACCTGTGGCCAGTTGATCTACCGTTTCAAGGCACATCACACCAGTAAACCTACATCACATTCGCCACTATGACGACATAAACGGTATCTTCCGAGTCCTTTCTAATTTATTTCATTGTGTAATTTACTGGTTTCCTACCATAAATACTGCAGTCACAACACCGATGTACACCACTAGGTTTATTTAAGTGCTACATCACGACAGGGACAGTCATGCGAATTGGGTGTAAATTCGCTACTCATTGACCATGGCATCTTAGAAACTCGCTAACACTTTCAATCTGTGACGTTTGCTCCTAATAATGGACTAATTATTTCGTGCTAAGGAATATTTCCCATTACACCGAATTCCAATAATCAAACATGTAATCACACAAAACTACAAATGGCTTAAGCTAAATGCGCATCTCATTAATTTTATTACAATATTATTGGTGTGATAGAATTTATACTGAACAAGAATTGCTCACTTTTTTTCATTGCTTCAGTTACTATTTAAATTAATTTGATACGTCATTTGGTAAGTAACGTCATTTGATAAGGTCTTTTGCTATTTAACATCATTCGATAAAGTCATTTGCTATTTAATGTCATTTGATAATGTCATTTACTAATTAACATCGTTTGGTAAGGTCATTTTCTTTCCAACGTCATTTGAGAAGGCCGTTTGCTGTGTAACGTCATATAATAACAACACGCTGTTACCAATGAATAGTTAGGTATCACACAATAGATGTTCTTTTTGTTTCGCTGCATGATAAGAACGTGAACCATAATAACTTGATTAATCGATAACGTCAGTACTGAGTAAACTTGTTTAATATAGAACATCATACTTAATAAACTTGTTTAATCCAGGACGTCAATACTGAGCAAACTTGTTTATCCTGGACCTAAAATCAGAAATCATTTTCACGCTCAAACAATTGGCTCAAAAATGTCTCACGCTTGATGATGACTAATGTGAAATGACTGATAAATTAGATTTCCAGATTATACATAACATACATACGCACCCACGCACACCACACATACATGCACGCACACACGCACATACATACATACATATATGCATGCATAAATACATACACACATACTCACACATACATACATACATACATACATACATACATACATACATACATACATACATACATACATACATACATACACATACATACATACATACATACATACATACATACATACATACATACATACACACACACACACACACACATACATACATACA